TAAGTGGACAAGTTTTGGGTGGCAGAATTAGCTCTGTTTTCTCAAATTGCGTGTACCATCCTGGGTTTTTTGAATGGGAGACTAAAAAGTGGCGATTTGCCAAGCACTAGGCACCAACAGATCGACAAAAATTTACTCAGGCTGGCGTTTTGGGATGGGACCAAGCCTGTCTTGTGCAGAATTTTCCGCTGCTTTTGAATCTGATTTCCAAATCAGCTGCCGATTTTTATTTTAAAAGTTATTCGATATTTATACTATAAAAAGTACCAAAATCTGGATTTTTGCGTTATTTTTAAGTTGTCGTCATCTTCGACGTTAAAACTGAGTCGGTGACGGTTCTAGAGATCAAAGCACGATTTTACCCCAAAAAGTAATGAGTTTTTGTGCAAAAAGCAAAACAAAATGTGCAGGCGGGATTCGAACCGCCTGCCCTGTGCTCGGCAAGCGAACACCTTGCCAATGCACCATGGTGCCAACTGCGCAAGGGGCTTCGGAAGGGTAGATAAGGGGCACAGTCTGAACAATCTGAACAAAATAGTCTTGGTCCCATTCCAAAACGCCACCCTGAGTAAAAACACTTTACAGTTAGTATTAGTATTAGTATTAGTTAGTTTTTCGATGATATATCGAATGACTTTGATAACCGCGAGAAACTAACGAAAATATCGAAAAGGGAACGTTGTTTTGTCCGCGCAATTTGTCCGTTAAATATCCTCCGGTCAATTTGTTGTTTTGTTTTTTTTTGAAAGGAAGGAAACGTTGTGAAGTGATGGCTATCGAGAGATTGGTACAAGTACGCCCAAACACCTGGAACTAAATTTATTCTGTGGCCGCGCCAGCGATCATCATTCGGAAACCCATCGGAAAGATACGTGTCGTATTTGGTGCCGCATATGGAAAGAAAAGACTGGCTTTTTCGGCCAAACAAAATGTGAATAGCCACTCGGCACGGCGGCGGCGGACAACTGACAATCCAATCTCTATCTCGGGCCGGGTTGGCTTTGGCAGCATGCGAAGTTGGTACTGGCGCAGCACTTCCATATCCTAACAACAAGATATTATATCAATTATTCGGTAGTCATTTGATAGCATGTCCTCTTCATTTCTACCCCAAAACACAACCTTTCTTTTGACTATAATGGTGAATGTGACGACAATTGTTCTGCTTCTATCTGGCTGCACGGGATTCTGAAAAAATTCGTTATAACATTAAAATTTTGGTATATTAAAAAAGCTGTCACCTCGTCGAACCAACGCGCTATCGAGCGAACTACCCGTACGGCATCAGTGATGTACCGCCAGCCGTCGAATTGAAAAAGCATCTTCGAGTACTGGGCTGCTGTCGCCTACAAATGTCGTCACTTCCAAATTGTAGTTGTCGAGGTATCAACTAGTTATCCGAAGCCGTAATTGCCATATCTAACGCTTACCACGTTCAAAAACCGCCATAAATCGCTGAACCAGTGCTGCCCATGTCCAAGTCCTTCACAGCGTAGTGCCTGAACAGCCGCCTGAAAATATCGACAAAGCCATCAATCGTTTGGAATCGACTCTCCTCTCACTCTTCGTATTTTCAGGCTTTTAATGGAGTCGAAAAACGGATAAATGTAAGACTACCAAACGCAAAAACTTTTCAAATCCTATACAGGATGTGCCAATAGAAAAACACCCCTCCCCCTCTAACTCGATGCAGAAGTATCGGATCCGAACGATAGGTAGCCATTCGAAAGCCCCTGAAACGGTGAGTTTGCAAAATCTTCAAAACCATGTTTTTACTTTACTTTTCCATTTTACTATTTTACACGCAGTTTTTGGGTAGGGATGGATGTGATGGTGTATTACATGAAGGGTAGCCCGAAGGTCAGATGGTTACAGTCGCGAACCATCTGGTTGGTTTGTAACCATCTGGTTTTTGTATTGCTAAAAGGTGCCCCAGTGGGGTACTGTAGGTTTCGTTTTCCCGCTTTTACCGGGGCGCCTAGCTTCGATACGACTGAAATTTTTCGCTCAGAAACTCCAATATCACCCAAAAACGACTCCTTGCAGCCGGGGCTAGGGTTCAAAAGTCGCGTAGCGGCTTTTACCCTGGGTTTTTATTAAAACCAATCGTGTGACGCAAATCGCTGATTTTCGACCAAAATGTCGATTTTGAATTTTCTTAGGCTTTCGATAGTTTTTTTGTTTTAATTCAACATACAGGGTGTCCCAAAAAAAAGACCCCCCCAAAAATTTGAGCCAGAGGGGACCTATGGAGCTAAAAATTTGCACAGAGGTAGCGAAGCCGATTTTCTATGAACAAGGAAAGTTTCAGCCCGATCGTCCAGCGGCTTTTAAAGTTATAGCGAAAATACTTTTGATTTTTATTTTAATATGGGGATTGCTGCAATTTGCATCAAAAATATGCGTTATTTTGGCATTTACCAGCCGATTTTGCATAAATTTCGCCGAAAAATGCCAGTTGTTTCTTTGGGCTGTAGAAAAACGATTGCTCGTGGAGAGAAAAATGGTTCGGAAGACCGTGGAACACAAGACGCATTGACTGAAACTATCGTTGGACGCTATAACCCAGCTTAGACTTCGTCGTAAGCGTCAACCCAAGCCGAAAACTGAACCTAAGCAGTACTTAGGGGCTCATCAAACTCTGTTTCGGGACCGACGGGGTCATATTGGCAATATGTCCCATAAAATATGATTTGGAACCTAGAAACAATCGTTTTCACGCTCTTTTTGCTCTTCATAATCGATCGTTCTCACCGAGTTCCAGTGAGCAAATGGCGTTTTTCGGCGAAATTTATGCAAAATCGGCTCGTAAATGCCAAAATAACGCATATTTTTGATGCAAATTGCAGCAATCCCCATATTAAAATAAAAATCAAAAGTATTTTCGCTATAACTTTAAAACCCGCTGGACGATCGGGCTGAAACTTTCCTTGTTCATAGAAAATTGGCTTCGCTACCTCTGTGCAAATTTTCAGCTCCGTAGATGCCCTCTGACTCAAATTTTTGGGGGGTCTTTTTTTTGGGACATCCTGTAGTATAATTTGGCTAAAAACACTATTAAAATACCTACGATACCTTACTAGGCAGTCGAGACTACAAAGAAAATCGGCCTCCCCGGATAATGCGAAAGCACCGAAAACGAAAAAAAAACAAAAAAACCAACAAGGTTATCCAACGGAAATCCGTTTCGAAACAGCCATTTCAATTGAATCGATGCCATTTCGGGGCATATCTTAAAAATCATCGACGGACTATTGATGCGTAGAATGGTGAGACGTCCCAGCGGGAATAACAATTCCTAAGAGTTGGCATACGAATGGTAGAAGAATGTTTGTAGTCTGTAATATCAATGCTAGAAAAAACGTACCCCATCCAACGTTTCCGGCCAAACATACAACCCCACGGCACCAGACTTCATTCCACGTAGAAAATGATTCACGACAGTCAGAGCACGCTCACCATCGAATCCTTCGATTTTGAAACTCGACGACCGGCCGCGCTCGCTGTCAAATTAAGATTTTTCACCTATTTTCCTCAATTACGTCATTGGCGTCCGAACGATGTCAGTAAGGCGTCCTTTACATCTGATCCGCCGGCCGCCTTGATTTCGAGCCATCGTTTTATAGGTGCCATAATAGAAGTGGAAGCTGCCGTCCGACCACAACCACCCCACTTCACCGCAACGCGTCAAGCCAACAAACCGCATGTCCTGCAAAGACCATACATGATAAACGAGGCTCCATGCCCAAAAATATGTAAGCATTCCGAAATGGTAACGCACCTTCAATTCTCTACCGTTCGCGAGATTGGACCCAAACTCTGTACTATTTGACGTGATTACTGGGCAAACTAACTAACTACTCCCCCGTTTCTATGTACCTTTTTGTTGGCAGAGATGATGATATCCTCCACATAATTGTTCGCTGGCCAGTACTGACGTGTTTTTGCGCCAATTTTTTCGGAGGCCAGCTATAACTGTAAGTTACGTTTCCTGGCCAAGCTTACCTGAGAGGTGGTGGCGCGAAGATGATGCTTCTCCCAGAAGCCTAGGTGGCCGTGGATGGCTTCTCGTAGCACGGGAGGAAAGGCTAGAAATGGCAAGGGCAAACGGGGAGGGGGAGAGCTGGTAGCTGAATGGCGACGCTTCATTGACCGCCTGAATCGAGGAGCTTTTGAGGGAATCAGCGGGGTGGATTTATCAGTCGAAAGACTTTCTATAAGTTTATAATAAGCTTTAAGGGACATTAGCCTATCCGATATTTTGTTCTCAAGGCCTCAGAAGCGATAGCTAAGTGTTTCAAATAACGTATCTGCTCATCTGCTTCTTATCATCCCCAATTGCTGTTTTATGGAGGGCAGACGCGGACATCTGCCCCCGATAATTTTTATTAGCCCATGTGGGTTCGGGTACTCAATACCAGGATTTCTTATCATGTTCCCTAGGTAATTTAAAAATGTTATAAGAACGCAGGCAAAAATTACTACCTTTCTGTGGTAAATGACAAAGTTATAAGGGAAAGTGGAAAGCCCTCCTCGGGGCCCCATTTTGGACTCGAGGCCGCGGGGTCGAAAATCGACTTTGAAAAAGAAAAAAATCACCGGAGTTTCGTGGATACAATTAACGTACGCATCGAACTGTGTATGAGAGCGGAATTCTGGAATGATCTGGCCGAAGTTAATGGTTCATTTTGATTTAAAACCCGAAAATAACGTTTTTGAAAAGTCGACTTTGGGGCGCTCGTCTAAATTCGTTTGCTATGAAAAGGTTTTGTTTCCATGGGTTCTAGTTGACTACCCAAGCTTGGTTTATGCCAGAAAAGTCGGGGCTACTAAACCCTCGAGAATTTTTTTTACCTCGCCTCAAGTCGGGCATATTTTGACTCTTCATGAATTTATTGTGAAAGATCGGATGGTCCAATAAATTTGTAAATATAATGTTAGAATGCGCCCATTTAGTAGTATTAAATACATATATGACAATAATTCTAGCCGCGCAATTGAATTTCATAGACTGGCACGAAGGTCTGCGAAATAGCACGAACCAACCGTTTTGGAGGCGCTAAAAGGCAACCTTCCAAAGGGGTACGGTAGCTAGAAATCGATTATGATAGATGGTCGCCAGTCCTACACAACTAAGCAAAGCAAACACCGAAATTCTATCTGCAATTTTAGAAATATTCTTCCAAAGTTCAGTTTCGGGACCTCGAAAAAATCCATGACCAGGGGGTCGTTGAAAAACTCGAAAATTCATTAATCTCAAAAAACTCTTTGAAGTGTTTGTGCGATTGTACAAAGCTTGTGGGTATGCCAGAACAACCTATTTTGAGATTCCCGCCATAGGTTTTTTGTAATATTCGAAATTTACGAAATTTCTCCATATTAAATTTGAGCACGCTATAACTTGCCAATCTGACCTTCAAAAATTCCAAAATTTCGGATGTGCGTAGGGGCAGTCCTTAGGTACCTACACTGTAAAAATTGGAAGTGTTCGACCACCAGCAATCCAAAAAATGCAAACGAAGTTTTGCCGAAAAGCACGTTTTCGGGTGTCATTTGTATGGGTACGTCGCCAAAAATCGAAAAAATCAACGTGTGAAAGCATCATACCCAGCATATTTAAAGAGATGAGGACGGCATCTGTTGAACCCCCCTTGGGGAGGGGGGGTTCAACAGGTCCCAGCGCGACCGGCGGCGAGAGAGGGCGCCCAGGGGAGAGGCGCAGAGACATTTTCTTTCCCTCGCGTAATCGATTGACTTATGCCGCCCCTATCTCTTTAAGCATTCTGGGATGGTAACGTACCTTCGTGTCTCTACTATAAGCGAGATATTTTGGTGCAAACTTGGCTTTTTTTGACGCACCCTGTAATTAAAAAATTTTCAATAAAGACGATAAAAGAAACCTGGTCATTTCGAGCGATGGTGAGGAGGGTGTCGCGCCCATCGCAAAACGCATCGAGGGCGCTGGTTGAGCGGAGTTTCTCTTCGACAATGTTTAGGGCAAGGATGTGTGATGCTACCCTGCAAAACCCTAGTTAAAGGGATGGTGACACAAAGGTTTTGGACACTTTTGCGCCAAATTGGGCCTCAGAATTGAGGTAAAAACGTAGAATGGGCCATTTATTCTCTCAAAACCTATTAAGCGTTCCAAAATATCGGAAAACCGCTCACCGCAACAAATAAGTTCTTCTCGGATCGCCTTTTTCCTCATCCTTTGCGCGGGACATCAAAAGTTCTCAAAAGGCCAAGACCACCTCTCGTAAAACACTCGTAATACAATAGCCGACTCCAAACGTAAGTTTTACAAGTCTATAATGATTGTTGGGTCAGATCGGTGCCAATTAGTCGTGCCAGCTGCCGATGTGTATGTATGCGCGGGTCCCTAGCAACCATGGCGCCACCAATCTGGGGTCGGCGCGCGGCTTCTCGGGTTAGCCACGGTTCCTGCCTTGCCTCTTTTTAGCTGTATATTTTGTTCGAGTCCACAGTCAATACTTTATTTCGTAAAATCTCGGATATCGAGCGCGTAGCAGTCTTACTATCGA